TGATTGTGTACATTTGGGACTGTGGAGGGCCTATCAGCAGGAAAAGTGTGAAAAAAAATGACTCAGTCTGTCACGTCTGGGGGAATGTCTGGTGTGTGGTCATGTCTTGATTACCTATTGTGTTCACCTGGGGTTCCCCTCCCTCATGTGTTTAAATAGTCCTCGTTTCCCATGTCCTGTGCCAGTGCGTTTTCGTCTTTTCGTCTTTCGTCTGTTTTCGTGACCCCACGTCAGGTTTGATTTTGTCACAGCCTATTTTACTTTATTGCCATAGTCATGTTTTTGTACCATAGCCATGTTTTGCCATAGCCTTGTTTACCTTATTTGATACTTTGTTCATGTTTTTGTCACAGCCATGTTTTTTCACAGTCATGTAATCTTGCTTTGTTACTTTGTTCATAGTTTTTTCACAGCCTTGTTTTGTCCCATGTCTACCATCCACTCCTTTTGAGTGTGTTTTTGTTCAAATAAACCCTTGTTTCTGAATCTCCGCAACTGAGTCCTCCCTCCAAGATCCCACCTCCTTGACTGGGTCATGTTTTTGTGGGCTGCCTCAGTCTGAATCCAGGAGATAAATCAGGAGGTTTCAGGAGTGGGTAGTTTCTGACGTCATTAGCTCTATCTCATTATAATATTATTATTATTATAATATTAATATTATTATATATTATCTAGCTCATTATAATATTCCAGCCTTTCACCTGCATGTTGCCCCCCCCCTCAGCTTACTCCCCTATCTGTGCTGTATTCCCAATTGTAGCTAATAGTGCGGACTTGTAAAATTTACTCGTGTAACAGGATTAGCATGCTACTTATGTTTACTCAACTAGCAGAAATCTAGATTTTTATAAGCAGTAAATTACACAAGCACCATATTTAGTCAGCGACCGTATTTACCCGACGTACAAACCTACACATTTTTAAGAAAAAAAGTCAAATAAAGCTCATAACTCCCAATTCAGAAACGTCTACATTGAACAGCTTCTTGGCTAGCTGCTTCTTGTTCAGGGTCTGACTCTGGTTCAAACATATAAGGTCGGACCGAAGAGTTTCATCCAGCTGCCATGTTTCTCCCAGAGTTCACGTTCAGCTGTTAGCACGTTAGCGTTAGCATGGTATTGTTAGCATGGTAGCATTAGCATGGTAGCGTTAGCGTGGTAGCGTTAGCGTGGTACCGTTAGCGTGGTAGCGTTAGCATGGTAGCGTTAGCATGGTAGCGTTAGCATGGTAGCGTTAGCGTGCCGACGTGGGCACACCTCCCTGAAGAAGTGGGCGGATTGCCTGTGTCTCATTTGCATTTAAAGAGACAGGCACTCCAAAGCGAGCGCTCTGAACGGGGCTGTTTTGGGATAGGGTTAGAGTTAGGATTAGGGTTAGGCAGGGGGACTGAACTGCTATTGGGCTTCATCCTTATTGGATTCTGACCAAAGCTTGTCACAGACATTACATTAGGACACCAGGGAACTAGCTTAACTTGTTGAAATACGCTATAATATGTCTCCTTTAATGGGACCTGACTCTGATCATTCTGATGAATTGTTGTCTGTTTGTTTTTTGTTGTGATGCTTTGTTTGGCAGCTTCCATTGTTCCGCAAAGGCTTTACTGGATATTGTCTGGATTCAGGCTTTTGTTCCCTTTCGGAAACACTGATCGGAAGCAATAAGAGCTCTGAATCAGGTCTGCAGAGATCTGCGAAGGTCAATTAAATTCCTCCACAACAGGCTGGGAAAGGCTTATCGCTTAACGCTTTGTCACACTGGAGCCCAATCAAAGTTGTAACAGGAAAAGGAAACCCGAACCGTTATCATGCCGGGAATTGCCTGATGTGTCTAAGAACCGTGTAACTCTCCAGCATTTTGCTTTTCTCTTCATCCAGGGAGGAATACTTTTTGCTTGTCTTATATATGTATGTTAGAGTTATTCTTTAGTTGGAATCCTGAGAATAAACCAGAGTAGATCAAGACTACAAATATGGAATTTATTGGTCACAAACAGAGTAAATTAGCTGGGCTCTCACAGACAATAGAGTCATGTTGCATCCAAAGTATGAAGATGGTCTCAAACTAAAGTAGCTGTTCTTATCATGTTTGGTATCTCAAAGAAGCACAAAGGTATCTAAATCAATCTCACCCAAAACAAAGTGAAGGATTTGGATATTCCAGCTGGTTTCTTCCACCGAGGTAACAGGATGGATGGATTAAATGATGGATTAAATATCGATCACACTTGAGCGGGAATAGGCTAGTAACCAAAAGACTGCATAGGGGTTTGGCATTGTTAGATTTGGTTCTTTAGTTGGAAACCTGA